CTGCTGCTGCTGCTGCTGCTGCTGCTGCTGCTGCTGCTGCTGCTGCTGCTGCTGCTGCTGTTGCGTTTCGCTCGTGGACTATATCTCTGCTGTTCTGCCTGTGAATGGAATGAATGGCTTGGGTGTCAGAGTTGATAGAGAAAAGGTTTGTAAATAATTAATTAATTTATTTATAAATATAAATAAAAAAAATACTTTTTAATTTATTTATTCATCAATAACAACTTAGTGCAATCGGCAACGCACGCAAAGAGACAGTGCGTGCGCTTGAGCCAACGCAAACCTCTCTCAGCAGCAGCAGCAGCAGCAGCAGCAGCAGCAGCAGCAGCAGCAGCAGCAGGTTACGCGCTTCTAGCCATCCCTGAACTGAAGCTGCGGAAGCTGCAGCTGCTGCTTGCTCCCCACTCGCCGGCTGCAGCGGCACCAAGGGTAGGGTTTAGGTTTAGGGTTAGGGATTAGGGTTTAGGGTTTAGGGTTTAGGGTTTAGGGTTTAGGGTTTTGCAGGCCGAAGACCGAACAGGTGCTGCTCTACGCCTGCGAAAACGATCATGCTGCTGTTGCGCGGCTGAAGGAGCAGCTGCAGCAAAAGGTTTTGGTGCTGCCTTGCATGGTTGATAGGATTTGTGCTGCTAGGAATATCTTTGCTGACAAGGTGAGCAGCAGCAGCAGCAGCAGCTGCAGCAGCAGCAGCAGTAGCAGCAGCGAAGCAGCAGCAGCTGCAGCAGCAGCAGCAGCAGTAGCAGCAGCGAAGCAGCAGCAGCTGCAGCAGCAGCAGCAGCAGTAGCAGCAGCGATAGTAGTTGCAGCAGCAATATTAGCTGCAGCACTAATAGCACCAATAGTGGCAACAGCAATGGCAGCAACAGCGACAGCAGCAGCAGCAGTTACAACACGTACAGCAGCAGCAGCAGCAGCAGCAGCAGCAGCGGCAAATGCGCCAGCTGTAGCCTGAGCATTGTTTGAGCATTTGGCGCCTTTAGCAGCAGCAGCAGTAACAGCAGCAGCAGCAGCAGTAACAGCAGCAGCAGCAGCAGCAGCAGCAGCAGTAGCATATGCTCTCTTTTTGCTGCTGCAGCGTTGCGTTTGGTGTTTGCTGCTGCATGTACCTCCTTTATTCTGCCGCTGCTGCGTCCCGTGCCTCCTCGCCGACAGACTAGGGTTTAGGGTTTAGGGTTTAGGGTTTAGGGTTTAGGGTTTAGGGTTTAGGGTTTAGGGTTTAGGGTGGGGGTTTAGGGTTTAGGGTTTAGGGTTTAGGGTTTAGGGTTTAGGGTTTAGGGTTTAGGGTTTAGGGTTTATGCAGGGCGCGGGAAACACCCCCGCGTTGGTGAACAGTTTGTTGACTTCGCTGTGCAACATTTCGCCCTTCTTTAGGGTTTAGGGTTTAGGGTTTAGGGTTTTAGGGTTTAGGGTTTAGGGTTTAGGGTTTAGGGTTTAGTGCAGATTGAAGTCTTAGCAGAACCTTATGAAGGAGAAATTGTGGTTTTGGAAAGGCCCCAATTTGCGCCGCCGCCGCCCTTTGGGGGCCCCAATGTGCATGCGCCCCAGCTTCGGGTTTGTTGCAGTTAATTAATTAATTAATTAATTAATTAAATTAATTAAATTAATTAAATTAATTAAATTAAATAAATAAATAAATAAATAAATTAATTAGATTTGTTGATTTGAGCGGCTGGAGCTTTTTCCGTTTCTCCAGAGGCGCTGGGCTGCTGCTTGCTTCCTCCGTCCGGGGCTTGCTGCTGCTGCTGCTGCTGCTGCTGCTGCTGCTGCTGCTGCAGCTGCTGCTGCTGCTCTACAGCCGCGTGCGCAGCAGCAGCAAAAGCGCAGCAGCAGCAGCAGCAGCAGCAGCGCAACCCGGAGTCAGTTTTCTCCGCTTCTTTTTGGCGAAATGTTTTGAAAAGTTGAAATTTATAATTAATTAATTAATTAATTAATTAATTAATTCTTTTATTTATTTATTTATTTATTTATTTATTATTTATTTGCTGCTGCACAGGCGGCGGCGCACTACCTCTGCCAGCGCAAGATAGGACTTGTTAATGGCATGCATACCACTCTAGCTTTTTTAACTGCATGCAGCAGACGCGACGAGCTGCTTGCTGCTGCTAAGGAAGCAGCAAAGCCAAGGACGGCCCGCAGCAGCAGCAGCAGCAGCAGCAGCAGCAGCAGCAGCAGCGGCAGCAGCAGCAGCGCAGACGCCGTGAGGCCCCTGCGCTCCGCCCCCGCTTTTTTCGTGGCTTTTGTTTCCTTTTATTTCTTTTCTTTTCTTTTTATTTCTTTTCTTTTTATTTCTTTTCTTTTTATTTCTTTTATTTCTTTTATTTCTTTTATTTCTTTTTTATTTCCTTTTTCTCCTTTTGCTGCTTTATTTATGCTGCTGCTTTTTCATTTCTTTATTTGTACTCTACGAAGCAGCAGCAGCAAAAAAAAGAAATAAAAGCAAATAGCTGCAGCTAAATAAATGATATTTTGCTGCTGCTTCCTTTTCTCTTTTTATTTGCAGT